GCAGAGCTGAGCTCAAGGAAACAGGCAGTGTCCGGAAGGCTGAGCTTATCAGCACAGTACAAAGATCTCTCCAGAAAGTGCAAAGCCCTTTGGAGAATATCCCCACCCACTGTCCCTTTGGGGGCTCAGCACTGCCATTCACTGTGATCGTGGTGGTTTGGTGGCCACAGCTCTCCAAAGGCTTTGGCTGAGTCCATAGGGCAAAATTTAGGCATGGTTGTGGCATCCATGGCTGAGAGCAAGCCGTGTTGTTGGGCTGCATGGAGCAGCTATGGCAGGCACAGATAAAAGCAGAGCCCGAGAGGCATCTGCCTGCAGTGGGGTGTGCGCTGCTAATGCGCAGGGATGAACAGATGGGTTGATTACACAGGGAGAAATGGACACTAATCGTATCCAGATTCACCAGCTGCAGGATTTCCTCCTGAGCCCTGAAGGACAGGAAGCCCTTACCTGCTTCTTTATCCTGTCTCTGTTCATTAGGCCCTTCCCCCGCCCTGGGAACCACGTCTGGGCTAATTCCCTGCGCCCAGACCGCAGAGCTCACATCCAGATGGGAACTCCCACAGCACTCCAGCATGGCTGGATGCAGCTCCAGCCCAGGGGCCTATCCTGTCTTTCAGCTCTGGCACAGCCTGGCTCATGTTTTCCCGCTTGGGGAACCCACTGCAAGACTCCTCTTGCCTTCCATGGCCTCTCTGAACAATGGGGAAGAATTTGGAGCATGTTGTGCATCAAAGACTGCACTGGGGATCAATGCATTGTGTGCCACCATGTCCTGCACTGAGATGCAGCCACTTCTGAGATAATGTCCAGTACGTCTTTGGCACACATCCAGTGAAGCCAGGGAATAAAGAAGGATTTTGCAGGCTTAAAACATCAGAAGCAACCCTCCAGCAGGCTGCACGATGATTCACTGGGCTGAACTGGGAGGTGATGTTGGAGAACTTAACTGCATTCTTGCTTCTGGGAGATTGAAACATCTTGAGCAGTCAGGTTTCATAGCCTGCTTAGGTCAGCAGTGCCAGCTTGAAGAAAGGAGCAGAAACCTCCCACCCTCCCTTATCTGCATCTCTCTGCATCCACCCCTGCTCTCTTCAGCCACTGGAAGCTGCTCCCAAAGCAGTATGGCTGCAGGGATGGCCCGAGGTGACCCCTATGGGGGGGTCTGAGCCCCATCCTCATCCACAGACAGGAGACCTGGGAGCAGATGGCAATTCAAGCTGTTGGTCATGCTGGTAGCAGCACTGCCCTCACTTCTGATGGAGTCTCCACGTGAGGAGTAAGCTTGAAAAATGCTACAACTCAAGCTGTTGCTCCACGTGGGGCTCTGGGGGACCCTTTCTCCTTACATGCTGAGGGTGCCTCTGTTCCTAGCCCTAGGCTTGCGTTGTCAGACTCAGTGTGTGCCAGCTCCCACACCATCCCTGGATGCCATGGGATGCCACGTGCTGCCCCTGCGAGCTGGTGCACGGATCTGAGCAAGCCAAGGCCAAAGGAGAGGAGAACCACTCCCTGCATTCTTGGTGTAATTCCCAGAACCTTCCTGCTCAGCCAAAGCTGCTTCAGGTCCCCGTCCCTGGCACTGAAACATCAGCACAGCCATCCTGTGAGTTCAGATCAAACCCCAGGATGCTGACTGAGCAGTCAACCATGCTGAACAGAGCCGTGGCCACTCTGCAGACCCCTCCAGGCAGGAGGAAGAGGAGGAAGCACAGCACTTGGTCTTGCAGGTGAGGAGAAGCCCCCTGCCCTCTCCAACCTCTTGGGCAGCTCCTCTATCCCTAGCTCAGTGACAGTGATGTGCTGGCAGCAGCCATACGGCACAGCAGCACCTGGGTACAGACCTCACCAAACCACGAGGTGGTGCACACAGGGTTATACTGTGCTGTCATCATCAGAATAATGCTATACCTACCTCTTAGGCTACCTCACCCTGTGCAGCATGCCCCTTGTCGGGCTGCATCTTCTATTTTCTGCAGACAGGACTAACTCAGGAGTAAACATAGCATGCCAAATCCAGCACACAAAGTGCAAACCTCATGGGCTTCAGTGGGGGAAGCAGGCAGTGCTCAGTGCCCACAGACAGCCCTACAAAAACAAACCTTGCTTTGTCCTCCCCCAACTCACTTTTCACAGCAGCCAGGTAACATCAAAGATAAAGAGTAGCCACGAGCAACCTCACAACAGCAAGCCAGGATGAAGGAAGAAGTGGATGGAAATCAGAGAATGAAAGAGGTGATTGACAGGGAGTAAAAACTGCAGCAGGAAAGGTAAATAATAGTGATTCTTCTAAAGCTGAGCTGTGGAGTGGTTCAGTGGTGAGCTGGCACTGGGTACCCCATGTCCCCCATGGTGCATGGAACTGTGGGCATCCCTTGGATGTGTTTCTACTGGGATCTCATTCAACTTGTGCCCCCAGATCCGCTGCAACAAGCTGGCAACTACGAGAAAGAAGCCCACAAAGGCCAGATTTGCTCTCCCTGCCTTTAACATCCCATTTCTCCAGTAGAAGTGATTGCTGGAGAAATAAAACTGATTGTACGGACCGTGCAACCTGGTGAACGATGGTCCCCATGGGCTCAGCCTGCACACAAACAGAGCATGGCAGCACTGCAACTGCAAATCAGGCAAGTTTCATCAGAGCTTCAAGTTAAAAAAAAAAAAAAATGAGAGGAGGAAAAAAAAAAAAAGGAAAAAAAGGAAAACACAATCCAGACTCTGCCTTGGCCAAACCTGGCCCTTTTAAGGAAAGGAAATTTCCCAGAGCCACCCTCGACAAACCTAGAGGCCCAATCCTGCTCTCAGGAATGCCAGTGCAAATCTAGAACAGCTCTGCCGGCCACTGGGGGGGTTATGGCAGCTGTGTGTGCATCCAGCCCTGCAGGGAAGCTCCTGCTCTCCCCTAGAGATGGAGCTTGCACTGCAACAGCCAGGGAGCAAACTCCAGGTCCGAATGCAATCAGCATCAGAATGCTCTGCCTGCCAGTTTCAAGAATTTGTCCTTTTTGCTGAGCCATGATCTGGAAGCCCCAGCCTGAGTTTTGCTGTGAGCTGCGTGCAATAAAACAGAGGGCTGCTACAGAGGGGCCACATGTTTTGCTTAGGGCACGTCCAAAGTGTCTGCCTCGAGTTCAGACTTCCTCAAGGGGCTGCCCATGCAGAGCCCAACGCAGCGATGCCAGCAGCTTCAGTGTTTGGGTTTTTTTTGGTAGCAGCCCTCTGCCAACTTCTCCCAGGGAAGCAAAAGAAACTGGGGGCAAACTGGGAAAGGTCTGCTTCCACCCCAGCCCCTGTTTATGTCAAAAATCGGCAAGGGAAAAGCTACAGCGATGAGTAAAATGCTCGTGTTCCCTTCTCATTAACATTAAAGGTCTGGATGTAAACCAGATGTAAATGGGCTCTGCTGCAGAGGGTATTCTGCCACATTTTGGGGCCAGATCTGACCGGCCCCATTTCCTGCTAACAGCAACGTGGGCATTCAGCTCCCCAGCCAACCACTGTGCAGCACGAGAGCCAGGGACCACAGCAAGCAGCCTCAAAAATGGGAACTGCCAGCAAAGGCCACAGCCCTGAGCTGCACTCCCCCCGAAGAGGAGGTCAGTAGCTGCATTCAGAACCCACTTCAGCATCTCCATGCATCTGCTCAGCCCACTGCAACCACTGCTTAGAGCTGACGAGCAAGCAAGTGGGAAGGTTCAGAGCAGAACCAAAGCACCCCAGCATCCAAAATGCAATGCACAAGGCAGCACAGGTTGCTGCCAGGCCCATAAGGCACCCAGCACCTGAGAAAGCATCTCTAGGAGGTGAGCGGGGTGCGGGACGAACTCAGAGATGAACCCTGGAGAATGGGTGGGAGATGGAGGTGAAGCTGAGCTGGGGCGTTTGGGTGCTGTGCAGCCAGTTCATAGGCTCTGCTGTAGGGCTGTGCGTCACTTGCTGAGAGAGAGAATATTGTTTTTGGAGAAGGGAGGAGGAGGGGGAAGCCAGGAGTGAGGAAGGAGGAGGAAAAATTTGGTGAAGGAGGAGGGGCAGCTCGCATGGCTCCTGAGCACCTGCATAGTGCGTGGCAGGAAGGAGGCAGGGAGACCCTGCCCTGCGGACAGGCTGCTTTTGTTGCATCCCAAACGAGCCTCGATTAAGTCTGACAGAAAGAGGGCAGAGTCCCACACACTACGGACAAAAGCCCCGAGCTCAGCAAGACCTGGAGAGCTTCGGCACAGCCGGGAGAGGTGTGAAGCTCCGCGAATCGCCCTCTGCAACGCCCCGTGCCTTGGCCAGGCAGCCCGGTCCCAGCTGGAGCCACCTCCAGAGGCCACCGCGAGCTCCACGACAGCCCTCCCTGCTGTTCCCTTGCCCATCTTTGCCCAGCACAGCCCTGTGCCCAGCTATGGCCACGGCGCTTCGCCCATCCCGACACGTTGTGCCAGCTTCTAAACAGTTAACACCACCAGAACCAGACTGCAGAGCTTCCCTCATCCGCACATCCCTCCAAAAAAGAAAAAGAACCCGATCCTCTTATTCTCTCCTCCACCCACCTGGGCCACCTCCTGGCATCCATCCCGTGCCCACAACCAGCGCGGGGTTTGGGGGGCTGCGGGCTCCCACCACGTTCGCCGCGGCTGCCATGTTGAATTGCAAATCCGACATGAGTCGACATCTTTTTTTTTTTTTTTTTCTTTTTTTTTTTTTTTCTCCCCCTCCGTGGCGGAAGCACAAAGCACCCGCGTGGGGGACGGCGGTGAGCGGGGCGAGAGGAAAAAGCACCTCGGAGTGGTGCTCCGAGGTGGGACGCGAGGAAACGTCCCTCCATGTGGATCAATTGGAGTCTCAGGGCTGCGAGGAAGGGGGTTTTTGGGGGAAGAAGGCGAATTGCAGCAACAACAAAGCGCCGGGCGGAACGAAACGGTATTTCAAATCAAAGGCAAAGAAGCACCCCAACCAACCAACCAACCAACCAACCAAAAAAAGAAAAAAATGAAGAGCGAGGTTCGATTCCGTACCGAGGCAGCGAGAAGGACGCAGCGCCGGCAGAGTGGTTGTGTTGTGGAGCAGTGGCTGCTTTTAGCTCCGCTTATCCGGACAGTCACCAGGGAAGGATCCTTTTCCGAGAAAGGCCAGTTGGAGTGAGACAGCTTTTTTTTTTTTTTTTCCCTTCTCTCGTTTGCTCTCTCCCCTTTTCCCTTCTCCTCTCAGCTCAACGCCAAGAAATGGGCGGTGCCTGGATGCCAGGCTCCATCCGAACGAGACGCCGAAGGCCGGGGCAGGCTGGCACAAAGGCGAGCTGGCAGGAATTCCTGCACTCGGCGCTCCGAAAATCCGCTCTGAAGAGTTCTGCCCCAAAGGGAACGAGCACGGGGCGGGGGGCGATGGGGGGGAATAGCGATAATAATAATAATAATGATAATGATAATAATAAATGGGGCAGAAATAAAGCTGGGACCTTCCTGTGCGTCGACGCAGGTTAAACAAAAGGCCTGGGGACGTGGATGGGGCTCTGTGCCCCCCCCTGCCGTGTGCTCTTTCCCGCCCGCACGCCCCCTCATCCCGCCTCGTGCTCGGTGCAAAAAAGGGCCAAAAAAACCAAAAAAAAAAAAAAAAAAGGGGGGAAAAAAAGCCGAAAGCGACGCGCCCGCCATGAGGGCAGCATGGCAGCAACCGCCTCCGAGGGGGCAGATCGAGGGCGGTTTGTGTGTTTTAGGGCGTATTTGGGGCCTTTTTTTTTTGTTGTTGCTGCCGCGAGCACATGGGTTGCGCCGATGATAAAAAGGGAGTCCCAGCGGGGCTCGGGAGGGGGGCCGAGGGGCCTGAGAGAGCTGCTGGGGAGATGCCAAGAGCACGGAACAAAACACGTTTTCATCTCGCCCGCACCGGGGGCCGAGGGGCGGCCGTGCACCCCGCAGCCCTCCTGGGGAGCGGCTGCCAAGCCCGCCTTGGCACGGCTCCCCCAAACAAAGCCGTCACCCATCCCCGAGCAGGCGCTGACAGTAAGCAAAGTGACAGGCGCATCTCCCGCATGTTAATCCAAACGACGAGGAGCGAGCGGTGCCAGCATCCCCCCCCCCCCCCCCCCCCCCCCCCCCCCCCCCCCCCCCACCCCCCTTTCCCTACCTCCTCCTCTTTTCCCTTCCCCACATGCACGCGGACCCCCGGCCCCGTCCACCCCAACCCTTGGCACCTTCGTGCGGGGCCTTCCCTTTTGGGCGGGTTTAAATCAAAACAAGCGGCCGAGCTTCGGGGGGCGAACGAGGCCGCTCGGCGTCGGCGGTACCTGCTCCGTTCCCGCTGTCTTCCTCTCGCCTTGGATGCGTGACAAGAGCCAACTCGCCTCTGGTGGGCTCTGGGAGCCGCGGGGCTGTAACCCTTTGCAGGAAGTTGGCACGGCTCCCAGGTAGGACTCGACTCCCACATGGCTCCCCCCCAGCAGCCGCCGCCGCCGCTCCCTCCCTCCCTCTTCTCCCCACCCGCTCTGCCCCCAGGCCCGGCGTTGCCCCCACACTGTTGCCCATAGGGCCGCCCCACGCGCCGCCGCCGATTCTTGCACACGTACCCGTGAAGGATGACCTGGGCAACACCGAGAACAACAACTTCCTGCTCCGGCTCCCTCCAACGCCTGTTTCCACGCGGTGTGCGGCGAGACGGGGGGAGCTGGGAGGAGGTTTGGGGGTTTGTCGTCATTGAATCATGCTTTTTTTTTTTTTTTTTTTTCCTGCTGGACACAACACGAAAGGAAGAAAAATGGGAAGAGAACAGCTCCAAGCCAGCCAGCAAGACAATGCGTGGGGGACAGGAGATTAGCGCAGCTCTCGGGATCCATCTCGCCTGCCCCATTTCGGAACCCCACGCCTCATCCATGCGGTGCTCCTGAACGATTCCAGTCCGCAGTCCGGAGTCCCTCCGAGCTGCCAAGAGCATCGCAACAGGAAAGAAAGAAAGAGCGAGAGGGAGAGCGAGGCAGAGTCCTCACAATCGAGCAGCGAGAAGAGCAAGGAGAAATTAACATCCAATTAGCGCCGTGTTTAACGAGGGAGACAGAGGCGGCCGTTGTTTTATTGCCCTGTTCTTTTCAGGCACATCTGACAGGCAGCGGGGAAGGCACCCCAGCTCGAAGTGACGTCATCATATTTTATTTTTTTTTTTTTTATGTCTTTTCTATTTTTTTATTTATTTATTTTTTCTCCTTTTTCCCCCCTTCTTTCCTCTTCCAAGTTGCAAGGCGAGATTTCGGCAACATGGCCAGGGCGACGTGGGGCTTCGAGCCGACGACTCCTGCCTCCATCCCCCCCTTCCCCAACACCAACCCTGTAAAACAAACACCACCAACCCCACGCCCGAAAGTCTTTGTTCTTCCAAACAATTAAAAAAAAAAAAAAGGAAAAAAATAAAACATTCAGGTCAACCCGGAGGAGGTTTCTGCGCTCTGCGCGTCCCTGCGTCCGTCTCGCTGCCGTTCCTCTCCCGAGCCGGCTCACTCGGCTTGTAAAACTTTGCTGCATGTGACGCTGCTCCCAACCTCCTTTGGCAGAGTGACAAGAACCGCGCTGCCGGGATCGGAGAGCGCAGGCGGCTTTTAAGGAAGAAACTCAATTCGCTCAGATTAGAGAATTAGGGATGTTTTAATCAAGGGACAGCGTGGGGCTGCCAGCGGGCGGCCGGGAGGGACGGCAGCGGGGTGAGCGGCCAGGAGGACGGCGATGCTGTGACCCCCGTGTGGGGCTGTGCTATGGGGAGAGGAGCTGCGCTGCAAACGGGGGAGACTTAATGTCGTGGCCTCGGCTCTCTCCTCCCCCCCCCCCCCCTGGGGCGGGGGGGCCACGGAGCAGGGTGGGAGGAAGGCCCGACGGGGTCTCGTCGCAGGGAGGAAGCAAGGCCGCGGGGCCCCGCGTGCTGCTGGATGGGGGGGTTGGCTGGGAGAGCGGGCAGAATTTCCTCCAAATGGCTCTGTGCAAAGCAGGGGGTGTGAAATGCTGCTCGACACCTCGGAGCTGCCCAGAGAATGCGGCTGTGCGTGGGGACACGCGGCTGCATGGCAGCTCAGTGCTTTGGCTGCACCCATCGCTGCCTATCGTCCTCATCTCCAGCCAGGATTTCCCTCTGTTCTTTCCCCTGCTCTGCCTCTCGCTCTGTGCCCCCAGCAGGTCCCGCTCAATGCTCTCCATCACCTCCCACCTCACTCCTGCCCACCCTCATGAGAGGGGACAGCTCTGTGACCACCGTGCCCCAGTCCCAATTCCCCACCCTGAACCCTTCCCAGCAGGACTGGGCTGCACCAGTCGCCTCTCCAGGGTTTATTTTTATTATTGAGTAACTATTTGCCTCTACGGACCTTCCTGCTGCAGGAAAGGCACACAAAGAGACTCGCAGAGGGCAGCATTGCTGCAGGGCATTGCCTTGCTGCCCATAAGCCTAACACTGCAGTGACAGCACCCGGAAAGGTGTGCTCAGGTCTTTGTCTTAGCTGAAGGGCTTTTAGCAGCAGAGCTCTGCAGGGGAAAAGGGCCCCAGGGGAGCTCAGGGCTGCCTTGACCTGAGTTTCCCTCTCCCAGCTTCAATCTCTGTCTCCTTTGTCCCCTCGGCAGCTGGGAGCAGATGAGGCCAAAGTCCCAGTAATCTCCACTTTCCACTGGAGAACGATAAACTGCAGGCACGGGGCGGTTGCAAACTCCACCCATCCCACTTCTGTGCTGGAGAGTCAATATTTAAACACAAGTTTGCTTCCTGGCTAGATAGGGGAACGCCAGGGCTGTGCATGGGTCCTCGGTGCCAGACCCAGCCCTCCTTCCATCCCACTTCATTTGTTCTCCCAACTGCAGTTTCAGCCCTGAGCCCCTCTGTTGTAGCAGCAGGGCCACATCCTTGTCACCTGTGCTGCAGGGGCTGGGCACCCATTAACAGGCAGCAATTAAAAGGGAGGGGCTGCCTGGGTGGTGTTTTCTCCTTGCCTGTTCCTGGTGCAGCTGCTGTCCCTATAGAGGGATGCCTGAAGTGAAGCAATGGACAAGAGGAACCAGAAAGCAGGAGGTAAGGAAGTTAAAGACCGTGTGAGTGATGGCCCCTGCTCTGAGGTCAGGCTGGGGTTGAGCATTACCTCCTGTGTGCTACCTAAAGGCCTTTGAAACCTGATTTTCATTTAAATTGGTCGGAAGCTGCATTTAAGAGTTGTTTCTAGCAAAGTTTGTGAGTCACAGTGAATGGAAGAGAGGTGGTTAAGAGAAATAGTACTTCTCAATGCAGAAATGGCAGCCAGGGTGTGTGCAAGGTGAAGGTGCTACAGGAGGCTTTACAGGTATGTGACCAGCAGAAGGTGGCCTTTATTTTGAGGATAAAGACCAGGTTCCTGGGCAAGCACTGCCTGATGTGGACTGTGCAGCACCTGCTGTTCAGATACACGGGAAATCAGCTCCTGTATTAAAAGAAATGCCTGAAATGGAAACCCTTCCTGAGCAAAGGAGCCCGTTGTACAAAACAGATCAACGCTGCCTTAGAAAAGAAAAAGAAACAAGCAAGGAGAGTTGTTTTATAGCTGTATTTTGGAGCATAGTTAAATCCTCTTTAAAATAACTTCTGGTTAGGGGACAGGGCCATGCATTGAGTGTTGTTACCGTAACACAAACCGTATGGGAGGGGGGGGGAGGACAGACAGGACCGACTTCACAACACCAAAGGGAGCTTTTGGGGACAGCAGCCTCCACGTGTGCTGCTGCTGCCCCTGCCTGCAGCCTGCTCAGGGCCCCAAAATTCTTCCCAGGGAGTGCAGTAACACACTGAACTCTGTGCAAAAGACTGCTTCGTGGGGGGGGGGGGGGGGGGGGGGGGGAACAAC